ACAAGTCAACCACTAGCAGTTTGGAGTCAGGAAGCAGCTTTTCCTGCAGACATGTTTAATTGAATATTCTGGGCTTTATGCCTTCCTTGGCAGCATCTGGTACTAGTGACAGTCAGAGAGACAAGATACTGACTAGAGGGACCATTGTTTTGATGTTGTATGGCAACTCAGGTGTAGCTAAAGGATGTTTTCAGATTAAAAATTCATATTTCTGAAAAGTTAGTGTGTTATTTTACAACACCCTTAGATTATTAAAACTAAGGCCTGGCCTACATTAAAAAAATAGGTTGACTCATTATGGCGCTCATGGTTGTGAAAAGTCCACACCTCTGAGGGGTGTTGTTAAGCTGACCTAACCCTGCATATAGACCATGCTGCAGGAGGTGGATTACCTACATGCCAATGGGAGAACTTCTGTTGGTATAGGTAGTATCTACGCTGATGTGCTACAGCGGCACCTCTGTAGCCTTTTAAGTGTAGAGAAGCCATGAGAATTTAACATCTTATTTGTGTTGTTTTTGCATCTAACTTCTGTGTTATCTCACCTTTGACTATGAAAGGTGAACAAGTCAGTTTTACTTTCTTGTTCTCATGCTCTTGCAGAATGCTACAATGTTTGTACAGTAAAGAACAGAGGCCTTTAAGTAAACCTTTCTGTTGGCTTTAAAGCACATAGAAGTGTTTCTATTGATCATGGCTTTATTAAAGCCTATATAAAGCAAATGTATATTTTTGCTAAATTTGATCTGATAGCATTTCTATGAGTGAGATTTTCAGAATGTCAGTTTGTACATGTGAGATTTTGTATTATGTATTGAAAGCACCTCTAGTGCTTATCTAAAGTTGTCAGCAAATAATGCATCTTATTTATGCAGTCAAAGTGGAGATGTAGTACAAAAATCACCTTATCAGCCCAGGCAGTAATATTGCATGTTCATCTAGGGTGATGGGGTTAAAGTGCACTTCCTTTGTTATAATTGATAAATACTATTTCACACTACTCAGCGTGGGGATCTTGTAGTGAAAGACCCTCTTATAATACATATACGCAAAGAGACAGTTAAAATTGATGTGGGAACTATACCTATATTTTCTTGCATTTTGTTATTTGCTATAAACTGCTAAATCCCAACCCATGCAGTTATTAGATTTAATTAAAAATACTGACTAAAAAGCATAGCTTCATTTAAAAAAACAAAAACAAACAAACAAACAAAAAAACTGTCCTTGAAGGACCTGGGACCTTGGTTTTGCTCCTCCTAAGTTACTCTGGATGTTTAGGTATTCACACACTTACCGTCTTAAAAATGTAAGTTTGTTTACTGGTTGCTTTTTAAATGCATTTTAAGAATGCCTTAAGGGATGGTAGACGTGTCTCTAGAATTCACCCCCTAGAGAATTAACTGACAAATCATATTGAAGTTTATTCATATAATTTATGAACTACTTCAAGTACCTGTTCTGTTGGGTGACATCAAGTAACTTTATTCATTATGAATTTAACATCTTATCCTTTTATCTCTGTTGTATAAAGAGATTTGTTAAAACTACAGCCAGTTAAGAGAAATATTTGTTGTATCTGTGTGTCACAGGTATTTTCTTCTAGGGTGGGGTTAAGTGTACATTCCTACAAAAATATATTACTTATGCCTAATTGTTACATTTCTGTTAGGTACCTGCCAGAAGCCGTACGTGGCACTTATTGATGGGATTACAATGGGAGGTGTAAGTAAAATATTTTTCTAAGTGAGACAGTTGAGATGGCTTGTCTACATTAATGTAATATGTGATTAAAAACATTGAGTGAAGCAAAATTGACAGTTTCAAGAAGTGTGTACAGTAACTCCTCGCTTAACATTGTAGTTATATTCCTGAAAAATGCTACTTTAAGCTAAGTGATATTAAGCAAATCCAATTTCCCCATAAGAATGAATGTAAATGGGGGGGTTGGGTTCCACACACCCCCTCTACCTATAACTTTTAAACAAACAATTTAATACTGTACACAGCAATGATGATTGTGAAGCTTGGTTGAGGTGGTGGAGTCAGAGGGTGGGATATTTCCCAGGGAATGCCTTGCTGCTAAATGATGAACGAACACCCGGCTGATCCCTCAAGGGTTAACATATTGTTGTTAATGTAGCCTCACACTCTACAAGGAAGCACGAATGGAGGGAGGAGACATAATAGACTCATGGCAGTGGTTGCAAACATTCCCTGCGGAAACTGAATGTGATGATGAACCCATGCTACCCCACTGGCGTGCACAACTCCCTCCACTTTCCAAAGTGCCGGGCGGGAGGGGGGTGCATGTGAGAGAGACAGACACACACTGCCCCTTTAAGTACGCTGACCCCACTCTAAGTACATTGCCTTTTTAATTAGATCAGCAAGTTGAGACAACAGCTGTTGCCACAAGCTCCCTCCATCCTGAGCCTTGTCCTGTCCCCCCTGTGACTACAGGAGCAGGAGAGGTGGGACACCCTGAGATCAGCACCCTTCTTTCACCCCCCCCCGCACAGCAAGTAGGAGGCTCCCGGGAGCAGCTCACAGCAGCGGGGAGAGGGACACCTGAACTGCCTGGCAATTGATACCTGCTGGGCGGCTGCTACATAGGGAATCTAGGGGAGCTGACGGGGGGCTACCAGTCCACCCTGGTTCCAAGCCCCCCACCAGCTAGCTCCAATGGGCTGCTCTTCCTGAAAGCAGGCGGCTGCCAAACAATGTTATAAGGGAGCATTGCACAACTGTAAACGACCATGTTCTCCAATTGATCCGTGATGTAACAATGAAACAATGTTAACCGGGACAACGTTAAGTGAGGAGTTACTGTATAACAGTCATTTAACATAAGTCATTTTCAGATATTATTGGGTGATATTTGGCCCACATCATTTAGAAAGTAGTTAAATTTTAAGTGTAACATCTCTCTTTCACATAACCCATTAATATACTGAAATGCAGCTTTTGGTTGCTTTTTCTTCCTCTCTCTCAAGTGACCATTGCAGAAAATGGTAAACAACCCGCTGTGACTCCATATATAATGACCATTAACTCTGGAACGTTGCTTTTCATCTGTAAAATACTAACCATACCTATGGCACACTAATGACAACTCCAAGAATCTAGTTCTTGATAAATTCATTTTGGGGCTGCAATGTAAGAGATGGTTTTACTGTTTTGTTAAAACTAAGCAATAAGTTGTATGTTCTAGAAGTTATATGGTTAAGACTAGTTGACATTTATTCTCTGATTGGAATTACATGCACATATTAATGAGCTACTCTTTCACATGGAACAGGAGGGAAAAATACTACTAACTAGGCAAACTGGGCTAAAGGGAAATTGTATGTATCAGTGACTCATCATGACTGTGTGCCAAACATTCACTGCAAAGGTGTGTTTATTTGATCCTCTTTATAGAATTCACATTTGATAGGTGCAACCAGAGGGAAGGAGATATCATATATAAGAGCTTTCTGCCACAGCAGAGCAGACTGCTATTTTTAATGATTCTGTTACTGTTAAAGATAAACCTGCGCTTTTCTCTGAGGATTTGGTAGTAGCTTTGAAGGCAACTTATTAAGGAGGCTGGAATTTTGGTATAAGAACCCTGAAAGAGTGGGGACATTAGCATGCAGAATCTGCAGAAATCTCTTCCAGCTCTGGTCAGTTTGCCTTTATTTGACACTCTCTCTAGTTAACTTACTTTCTTAAAGGTTAGGAGTCTGAAATAGAAATACTAGTTATAACTAACTAGTATTGGCTGCACACGCAAGAAACAAAATGGGACTAAATTATACCATGTTATATACACAATACCATGAACAGAGTACTCTAAGAAAGAGAGATGTTGTTGTCATTTCTCTTTAATTTGGCTTTTTAGATTTCACTGATACATTCAAATCCTAGCAGAGCACATCAGGTAATAGAAAATAAAGTCTGTATATTTGTGGTATGAGATCTGGAAATTGTTAGACCTGGGTCTTTGAGTGATTTGTTTGGCAGTGGAGTGTGTCTGTATGGGCTGAGTTTTCATTTTTAGATAAGACTATGATCACAGGAAGATCTTAGTTTTCAACCCAGTGATAAAGCATCTTAAAACTGTCCTTGGAGATAGCATTGCCTTAAACAATTTTGACTGGTGTTTGAGTGAACAGCAACAGAAGCAGTGCCAACAGTAAAAGTGGTGTCTGATTATAGCAAGTTGTGGAAATAAGCCGTGGAATGGCAGTAACTGACTGAATTGACTACCAGTTTCTTAGGTTTGCATATATATAAAAATCTGCTAGCAGGTGAGAGAGAATAGCATTTGTTGCTTGGCAGATATAGGGCTAATAGAGTCCCTGGATGAAAGCAAGTGTTTTGTTTGTTTGTTCCTTGCTTGACTAGTTTTATCTAGCTCATTCTTTTCATCCCTGCTAATATACACAGCTTACTATACCAGTGTATACCGTATGTAGGCAGTTTTTCCAGAGTTAAGTTATTAAACTAAGAAAAGGGAAACTTTCCACTTACAAACCCTCACATCTAACTAAACACAGATACATGGTATTTCGTTGAGGGAGATAAACTCATGTTGTGGTTATACAGTTGTCCTGACCTCTTTTCACCCCTCTCATTTACTGTTTCCATTATCAGTCTTGCTCTCCCTGCCCTCCAGGCTCCTTTCCATCCTTCCCTTCCCACCTGTAATGGGGCACACTCACCATTAGGGCACGCCCTGCTGTCAGGTCACTTCTCAGTTTATTCCCCATCTAGGGAGAAAGTACAAACAGAAAACCCAAAGTCTAGTGGTTTTTATATCAGGCCTTTGGCCCCCATTTGGGACTTCTGTCTTTGACTCTAAAGTTTGAGGCTTGTAGCCTCCCACTGTGCTGGGGACAGGTAGGGGAAAACTAGCCACAGCCTCTCCTTTGGGTTCCAGCCCAGGTGCCCTGTGTTGGGCAACTAACAACCACACCTTGTAATCCCTTGCTGCTTCCCTACGCTGCTCTTACCTTTTCCCTGTTTGTCAGCATCCCTCACAGGAACATGGACTCCACTATTCCCATTCTGGAGTTTTTTCCTTGTGTGGCTTCTTCCCAGTCAGCTACGGAGGTGCTTTTTCAAGGTCCTTCTTAGTCTTCTTGGGTTATACTGCAAGCAGTCTCTCTTTCCAGAAGGCAGGAATCCGCATAACCAGCCCTCATCTTGGAGCTGGGATTATGGTTCAGGCAGGCAGTAACTCCTTCCTTAAAACAGGATTCTTCACAGCTCTCCTTCATTAGAGCTGGGGTTGTGATTTAGGCCAACGAGGGCCTTAGCTAGCTTCTCCTTCAGCTGGCTCCTTTTCCCCCAATTAGTCCTCCAACATGGAGAGCTCAGCAAGCCAGACTTCTCCTGTTAGTATCTCCTCTGCTGTGAGGTAGGAGGCAGCATATATGCTGGTCTTCCTTCCTGAAGTTCATCCCAATTGGCTGGGCAAGAGGCTCCTAGTCCCAGGTCCTTAAAGAAACAGTAACAGGTTTTCCCCACTCAAGCACTACATTTTCTTGAGGCTACTTCCTCTCTACCAGTATTTCTTATTTCTTTTGATCTTTGTATATATCAGATCTCCCAAACTCTTAAGGGGCCATGCTATGGTGTGCTGACCCCTAACCGCTACTACCTCTAAAGGGATAGATTAACCCTCCCACCCTTTAGATATCTTGTGTCCCTTTCTACTTTTTCCTTTTCCCCGTTTCCCCATCCACCCTCATCCTATCCCTTATTTTTATATTTTAAATACAAAATGTGGCAATTAACATGACATTTGCCAAACATTAGGCCAAATTCAGCAAAACTGATACAGGGAGGTTTAAAGTACTTTAAAAAAAAAAGTGCTAAAACAGACGTTTACCCCTTTGCAGAGCAGTTTAAATTCTTGCATTTTTTCTTGTCCTGCAAAATGATAAATCTTTCAGATAAGCTGATGTGTCTAATAATGTGATTGGTGCTTTCTGGTATTACCAATATAAACAACGAAAAGACTCATGGCATCAAACCCCTCCTTATAACAGAGCCTGGAGCAATGCAAAGCAGTAAAGTTCTCAAGATTTATGTTCAGATCACCATAGTGCCTGTTTTGTTTTACTGTCAGCTGTTCTCCAACACACCAACTATTGTTTAATACTCAGATAGTGGGAAGCCTAAAGTCCCGAATCTGAATTAGGGCCCCTCTTTGTGCTCAGTTTTGACAAGCTGGTGATCTAATTAGACTAGACAGAATAAAGTGGGTTGAAGATGATTGGTCAGCCATTGCCTTGATCACCTTGCTTGTATATTACACCCCTTCCCCACCTTCCTCCTACATCTTTTGTCTTGGCTGTTTGGATTGTAAAATCTTCAGAGAGTTCAGGTGAATTACTGGTAACATATGGTAAATATTTCTTTCTACTGAAATATAGTGATATATAGAATTAATTTTTTCATATAGGTTAAGGTAGAAACACTGAAGGAAGTCTAGTTTTGGTGCATTCTAGTTCATTCCGAATTATCCTGCCTATATCTTACGTTAGGGAGGAACTTTGCAAAGAATAAGAAATTGAGTTATTTCCTCAATCATGCAAACTTTCCCTTCAGCTAATCAAACCTTCCACCTTGCATTATCAATCTACTCATGCTCTTGTTTAAAGTGGTGCAGCGGAAGTGTGCTGGGCCCATCACCCAGAGGTCGCTGGATTGAAACCATCCTTTGCTAGTTTGGGTTTTAGGGGGGAGGGATAGCTCAGTGGTTTGAGCATTGGCCTGCCAAACCCAGGGTTGTGAATTCAATTCTTGAGAGGGCCACTTAAGGATCTGGGGCAGAATCAGTACTTGGTCCTGCTAGTGACAGCAGGGGGCTGGACTCAATGACCTTTCAGGGTTCCTTCCAGTTCTATGAGATTGGTATATTTCCATATATATTATTATTATAAATGGAGTGGATGGAAAAAAATGTCAGTATTTATCAAACAAGTGTTACACTTGAGAATTTCATATTAAAATATTGAAAATACCTGTAAAAAGGGTAACATTCAAATAGTATTTTGTTTTGCTAAAAATAATAGAGCAAAAAATAAAAACTTGATGCAGTTTAAATGTGAATGTCTTCTCTTCCTCCTCTCCTCCAGGAAAAATGTAGCCTATCCAGTTAATATAGTATAGGCTGATGTCACTTTTCGCTGTCAGTATACAATAGTATATTAAAAGAAAAAAATAGGACCAAATCTTGCAGACACTTAGACAAGTGTTAGGGTTCCCCCAAGACCTCTTCCACTTGGGTCTCCAAGAACTCAGTTAGATTCCAGTCTCATCACACAGGTTCCTTTATTTGGCATATAGTAAGGCTATGCTGAGTTGATCAAACTCAGGCATAGGGGGTGGGCATAGGGTGTACAACACATCCAGAATTACACAGTAAACCTCTTACTTTATATACTTTTACATATTACACTACATTTACTATACATTGCATCATATGTTTTGGGATTGGCTTGGTCACTTCGTAGGAACCAATCCCTTACAGTCCATGTACAACTTACCCTTTACCTCATCTTACATTCCAGGCCTATCTTATCCATTGTTATCTTGTTCATTGTAAATGATTCTCTGGGTGTTCTTCCTTATCTTAGTTAGTACAGACATTCTGTTTCCAGCTTGCGGATCCATTTAGCACCTTAATTTTGTCTCCCAAGACATGAGGCCTCATCCAGGTCCAGTTACTCATGTCAAACAAACCAGCCTCCATTCCACTGCTTTTGATTTTTTTAATATATTAGTGTTTGTTTTATTTGCATTATATTTTGGGTTTTTTTTGTGTGGTTTCCTTTCTAACTTTATTATCCAGCAATACATTTCCAAGACCGCAATGGTTGTAATTATTTGAATTGCCATTAATATTAGGCTTAAAATACAAACCAGGAGGTGCAAGCTCACTTTCTTTGCTATAGCCCACGGGGATGTAACTTTACATTATAAGCTTGCTTTGCCTTTAAAGCAATTTTTTTTTGTAATTTTAATTTTGCTTTTACTACATTATAAAAAAACTGGTACGCTCTATCTATCTATCTCTCTAGCTAACATGGGAAATTTAGGTGTGAAAGCGAACATAGACCAATTAAAATAATATTCCCTGGGTCCTTACCAGAAGTGGTGCTTTTTAGCCAACACACAATTCTTGTTATTACCAGCAGAAGCAGTTTTTACTTTACCAGTGTTCCAGCATCTCAGCTGTACAGTGCAATTGGGAGTCTGTTCCCCCAGAGTGAACCCACATGCTGGCTACTCTGCCTGGAGGACATTACACATGCATATGTAAGTGTCTCCCAGAACAAACAGGAGTACAAGTCTGGGGCTTTCCAGACCTTGCATTGTCTTGTAACAGTATTTGAGAAGGGAAAACAAATTTGTTCCACACTGTATGGGTTGCAGTGATTTTACATTTAACTTCATTCTGCACCATGTGGTATCCCTCTTTTGTACCAAATTTTTAACTTATCTATGGTGATAAAAAAGAGCAAGCATTTTGGCTCCATATTACTTACCACTGGTTTTACTTTGTATAATATACTAAACCTGTCTCCCAAAAATGAAGCCTCACCCATGTCCAATTACTCATGTCAAGCCTGACCTACAGAAAGTAGTCCCATTGATTTAGTGAGATTACTTGTATGGGGAGATTACTTGTGCAAAAGTTAGTTCAGTACAGCAGGGGTTCTCCACCTTTTTCTTTCTGAGGCTCCCACAACATGCTATTAAAAACTCTATGGCCCAGCTGCGCCACAACAACTGTTTTCTGCATATAAAAGCCAGGGCCAGCGTTAGGGGGTAGCAAGCAGGGCAATTGTCTGGGGCCCACACCACAGAGGGCACCATAAAGCTAAGTTGTTCAGGCTTTGGCTTTAGCGCCGGGTTGCAGTTCTGTGCAGCGGGGCTTCGTCTTTCTGCTACAGGCTCTAGCGAGTCTAACGCTGGCCATGCTTGGCGGAGCCCCTGAAACCCCTGGTGAGAACCACTGCAGTACAGTATATTACATCTGCTGTTTGGTATGTGTCAGAGTTTGCCTTTCCTTTACTCTTCACATTGAGTGGCTGGGGTGCCATGACATGTTCAGTGAAACTTTTAAAAGGTGGTTGAAAACTTGTAGGGATGTTTACAATATTAAACATTGCCTAGAATCAGCGCTGCATACTTTAAGGTGTAGTCATTTGGGGTGAATGGAATTTTTTTTACTGACAGGATCTAGTATATTATATTCCAGCATGTATAATGTGCACAGGGAACCTGTCAGATGCTGCAGGGAAGCAGAGCTCCAGGGTTAATACAAGATCTTAAAATAGCCCTACAGACCAAGACCAATCTGGCTATTAGCTAATTAGCAGTCCCATTTATTCATTTTAAAAATTGTATCTTTTAGTTCTTGCCACAAAGATACACAAACTTTCTTGAATTCAAAGTAAGCATTGGAGCTCCTGCTCACTTTGAAAGCTTACCTGAGCAGTAATGAATAAGGAATTTTGCAGATTTTTACAAGTTTAATGAATGCTTTGATTTTGCTTAAGATAAGTTATTGCATTTGTAAATGGCCTGTACAATTGCTGTAACTTTTGAAATGTTTGTACTCTCTCACAGTGCTTAACAAAAAACAGAATTAAGATGAAGCCTACGATACAATAATTTGTTTAACTAGTTACTTAATTCTTACCAAAACATTTATCATAGTTTGCTGCTAATTCCAAGAAGCTAATGTTTAAGTGTTTCAAGTCTCTAAAGTACATCATGGAACATTAGATGATTGAATCTTCTTTTCCCTGCTTTATTGAGTCAGTCCTGCAGATGTTTTTTTGATGTTTTTAAAACCATCTGTCTTTGGAGTTGCTGTTTGCAACATTTGCCAGACCAAAAACAGATCAGGGAAGAGGCAAACATCTGTCAAGATAAAATATGGTTAGATAGAAAAGGGAATGAAAACAGACCACGTTAATAATACATTTCCACTTAAGTGTAGCAGCATGAGACCACAGCTTGAACCTTTTACCCACATTACTACTGATTGCTTAACTCTAATTTTATTTATTAGTGTTAAGGTATACAGGATGTTATGGACAGGTTTAAATAAGAAGTTTTTGGTATGTTAGCCTAATGTGTCTTTTTGCATCGATACTGAGTAAACAGTTGTAATCAGGCTACCTTTCTTAAATTTCATATAGCTAGAATGTCCAAAAAAAGTAGCAATGTGCATTTATATCTTGACTTTAATAAGGCTTTTGATACCGTCTCGCATGACCTTCTCATAAACAAATTAGGGAAATACAACCTAGATGGAGCTACTATAAGGTGGGTACATAACTTGTTGGAAAATCGTTCTCAGTGGTTCACAGTCATGCTAGAAGGGCATAACGAGTGGGGTCCCACAGGGATCAGTTCTGTTCGATATCTTCATCAATGATTTAGATAATGGCATAGAGAATACACTTATAAAGTTTGCGGACAATACCAAGCTGCGAGGGGTTGCAACTGTTTTGGAGGATAGGATTAAAATTCAAAATGATCTGGAGAAATGGTCTGAAGTAAATAGGATGAAATTCAATAAGGACAAATGCAAAGTACTCCAC